GACGACTCAGATGACGATGACGATGACCCGATTCGTACTGCCACTGCACCAGAATTGCTGGCCGAGCCCGGCGACACGTGTGCCATTTGCATAGATACCCTCGAGGATGACGAAGACGTAAGAGGACTGACCTGCGGTCATGCTTTCCACGCTAGTTGCGTTGACCCGTGGTTGACAAGTCGCCGCGCCTGCTGCCCGCTCTGCAAGGCCGACTACTATGTTCCAAAGCCTCGCCCGGAAGGTGAAGTCGATCCTACCACTGGCCTCCGTCCAGGCGCTGCTCCCACGTCACCACAGGCCGTCTGGGCCTCGACCAACCCCTTCTCTCGATCTCGGGTAGTGATTATCAATTCCGACGTCCCGCCACAACGTGCTTCTGGACGCATGGGTCGGTCTAGCCGGGGCGGCCATTTCGCACCCGGCGGTGCATCACACGGCACAGCCCAATCTGGGCAGAATTCTGGTTGGCTATCACGTATAACCCCCGCTTCCAGCCAGGGAAGCCCTCCCCGATTCTCGAGCTGGTTCACCCGTAACAGGGGCGCTTCCAACAATGCGAGCGCTTCCCAGCAGCCGACACCAGGGCAGCTAGAAGCTGGAAACCGGTAGATGCCACGACCACTCTCTCGTCCAAATCTTTTATCCAATTCCCAGTTCTTACGTTTCATTACGAATATGCTCATACCCCGTGGACTTTTTATGTGCGCCATCGTTTTTTACCATCGCACCTCCTAGGAGTTTCATTGTCTTCCCCACTTGTCCAATCCTAGCGATTAAGCAAGCGACCGTGTCTTCCTCTCCCGGCGTTATTATACGGCTTAGTAGTCTTAGTACCTATTTGGAGCACAGCATTTCGGCGTCTTCTTTTACCGTTTCAGCTTTCTCATCATGGGAGTCGGGAAAGAGACGAACAGAAATGATGTACGTTTGCCTGCATAAGAGAGCAATAATGCAACTTGGCTCTCACCCCCCACTCAAGAAAAAAAACCCCCAATCCCCCCCCCCCCCATCTGACCTCTTTTTCCTCCAAAACCTTTTGTTTTCATCTCTGGAGGAACAGTGTGGCTACATCAATACTGTAGATACAATCATGGCTCGATGTAGTATATCTACACCCACATTTACCTATATATACACAATCAGCATGGTATGCGGGTCGGAAATGAACAAGGAAATGTTTTGTTTGGAACTGTTTTGCTTCTTCTTCTTCTTCTCTCCCCATGTCCTTGTAGCCCATAGTGGGAGAAAGAAAGAAAGAAAGAATATCTACGTCATGTTTTGAACGCATCTAGACTGGGTTTGGTTTTGTTTATTATGATTGGTTTTGTTTGGTCTTATTATAGACGGGGGGGTTGATACCTATATATACATATGTGGCTTCTAATAGTTCGCATCATGAGAGAGAATCTTTGTCGATATAGAACATGATGAATAAAACCGAGAAGGGATACCGAACGAACGAACGCACAAACAAACAAACAAGTAAATAAACAAACAAACAAACAAGAACTGCGAGCCCTTTAATCAATGATTTGACTCGGTCCATCTTGCTAAAAGACTTCGCCATACTATGCTCAGCCTCCCATTGATTCCCGTGCCACGAGGGTTTTCTTTTCAAAAAAAAAACGCCAAACCTGGTTGTAATCATACAAAGCCAGTCCAGCCCCACATTAATTCAACCAACCAATCAATCAATCACTGGCGGCTCAACCTCACAGTGTTATTCCTCGTCTCATCGTCCTCATCCGCCGCCTCGCCTTCGCCACCTACATCCTGCAAGCGCATAGCACGAAGCAAGTCCCTGCCCGCCCTGGTTCCATCGCGCAGCTCAATCGCGCTCTTGAGCAGCATGTCCTGCATGATGCGCGGATCCATGCCTACGCCCAATAACGCCTCGACGTCTGGGCCACGGGGAACGGGGAAATCAACCAGAGGCTTGCCGTTGGGGCCTACGCTGACAGTTGTGCTCTTGCGGTACGCGCTCTGCTGCTGCTGCTGGGCCTGAGCGTCATGGTCAAACTCAGATGAAGAAGAGTACGGGTTATACGTCTCGTCTGTGTCCGAGTCGAGTGCGTAGGTAGCCGATGTCAGGGATGTCGACGCCGAGTCGTTTCGGCGAGGCGGACGCAGCGGACCATTGGGATAGCCTCGTGGTGGTGGTGCGAGATTTAGTCGCTCAAATGCCTCCCAGAGCTCGTCCACGTCTTCTTCTTCGAGTGATGTATCCGTCGTCACGCTCATAGGTGGAGACTGGTCGTCGCTGCTGACACCGTACGCCATATTGTGCGACCAGCCATCCCAAATCTGCTGGGACCTCTGGTTACTGCGGTGGTATTGGCCTGGTTTGGACTGGCCTTGCACCTGACTTGCTGAGCTTACACCACGCAAGTGCAGACTTGGGTGATGCGGGTCTTGATTCGTAGGGTGTCCCTGCTCGTCGTACTGCTGGGGTGTCAACAAGCCTGGTACTGCATGATTGGGCTCAGATTGCGACTTCATGTGGAACGACGCGCGGTGATTGTTCTGCGAGAGCTGCACCTGGTCTTCAAGGTTGAAAGGATTCTCGTTCATGCGCTCTGCTCCTGCCGTGTTCGTCTCAGATCCCGACGTAGATGGACGATAATCCTGCACCATAGCCATGTCTAAATCGATCATGGATGAACGAAGTGGCGATCCAGGAGCGGAGCTAATCATCTCGGGATAGTCATCGATAGGCGCCAGTGAGTTGCCTTGGGTGTTTCGTAGACTTGGGCGGAAGTTGGAATTCAAATTTGGCGACGAAGGTCTGTTGTGCTGTGACTCTTGGGGGCTACTCATGGGAAACGAAAAGTCTTGAGTTCTGCGATTTTCGTCCATCTGTCGAGGGAAGGTCCACTCCTTCGTTTCGCGCCGACGCGATATGCGGTTTGATGCACGGTTCCTGGGAGCTTCATTGTTGGCTTCCGCCATCGCAGCATCAAACGTCCACTCCACTGTACGTCGGTTCGGCTTCTGGGGCTGAGCTGGAAAAGACCATTCCATCGTCTTGCGATTGGGGGGTTGCTCAGGAAATGACCACTCCATCGTCTTTCGGTTCGGTGGCTGGGACGGAAACGACCACTCCATCGTCTTTCGGTTAGGGTCGTCGTTCATACTAGGAAATGTCCAGTCCTTTGTTGCTCGTTTAGTCATTTCATCTTCTTCATTGAAAGCATCTCGGCGTTCCTCTTCTTCCAATTCCCTTAAAAGGCTCTTCATGCGATTTGCTCGAATGGTTGGCACCTCGCCCAAATCAATACTCGGCACTTCGTCTGCTGATGGCATTGAAAAGTCCAGGTCGATGACCGTCTCGCGATTGGGCGCTCCAGGGTTGAAATCTCGCAAAACCAGGTCCGAGGGTGGCCGGCCATTTGAAGGATCAGGCCCATCGATTGCACTGTACCGGTAGGGCGTCGTGTTCGTGTCAAAGAGCTTGTTCAGGCGTTTCTGACCTCTAACAATGGATTCTTCCTTGAATCTAGCCTGTAGTTGCTCGAAACGGTCCATATCCGCCAAGGGTGGTATACTCATTCCCAAGGGCTGTGCTGTTCCGCCAGCGAAAGGATCACTGAATTGCGTGGCATGCTCTTGTTCAAACTCTTCTGACGTACTGAAAGACCAGTCATCATCGTCGTCGTCCTCGGCTTCTGGGGCGAGGGGATCGGGTGCCTGCGCACCATATGGATTGAACAGCGACTGTCGAGTACCACCCTGCTGTTCCCAGACGTAGTATTCTTCAACTAGTTTAACTAGTGACACAGTTGGATACATCTTGGTGGTATCGGCCAGGTAGGGATGCTCTAGAATTTGATCCGGTGTCGGGCGATCTCGCGGCTCGGGTTGAAAGACGAAAGCAAGAAAGTCTTTCAACTCTTGAGAGAAGCGGTCTCCTTCGAGCATAGGAACACCAGCCGTCGGCAGATCGAAGTGCCCAATTTTGTGGTGAGGTGGGAAGCCGCAAGCCATCTCGAACACAGTACAACCGTACGCCCAAATGTCCACTTCGGTACCGTATGAAATCTCCTTTGGCTTAAGCAAGCTGTGTGGATCAGCATCCTTGACCCACTCTTTCTGAAGTTCGGGAGCCATCCAGAAAGGTGTACCAACAATGGTGGAGCGCTTTGATCTCTCAGGCTCCAGTGTATTGGAAACGCCAAAATCGCACAACTGCACTCGGCCATCTTCAAGAATGAGAACGTTGTTGGCTACAATACGGTCAGAGAGTGCTACAACAGTTGAGGTTGGTGAACTTACACTTCAGATCTCGATGCAAAACACCTGCCTCATGGATATATTTGAGACCTTGGGCCAACTCTCGAGCAATGGGTATAATAAATTTCTCGGCCAGTCCAGGACCAGGATCTTTGCTCGTGGCAGTGGGCTTCATCAATGTATTAACGCTACCACCACTGGCGTATTCGCTGATAATCCATAGCTCGTTGTGGACAGGTCTCGCCTCCTCGATAATGTTGACATAGGGCCTTGCTTTACTGTCTCTGAGCTGTTGCAGGATGTCGATTTCCTTTAGGGTATCCTGGAGATTCTTGTGCGTCATTTCCTCATAATCAACCTTGTCAATTTCAATAATCTTGATCGCAACAAGGGCGCCGGTGATGCGACTCTTTCTTGGTAATGTTAGCGCAAGTTCTCGACGTTACCTCGAGATACCCACCCCTTGTACACACGACCATAAGCACCCTTGCCAATGAGCTCGTAAAAGTCATAGGGTGGTGGCTCTTCTCCACCGCGCTTTGCTCTCTCGGCAACCAGTGCCTCCATATCCCTGGCTTGTTGCATAGCACGCCCTTTGCTGCCACCCACCATGGGCGGATGCAGACGCGCCGGTTCCATTCTTGTCGAGTATGTGTGCGTTTTGTCAATGTCCAGAGCTCCAATTGAAAAGTCTTCGTGGCGCTCGTAAGGCGACTCCGCTATGCGCTCCAATGGACTTTCAACTAATGTACTACTCCTACTCTCGAAACTTGTAGCAATGGGCAAAGGCGCGGGCGGGCGATTGGGCAGCAGAACGCTACTTGGAAAATTGTAACTGGTAGGGTCTGAGGCAGAATAGGAATGCCTTGGTGAGGGAGTAAGGGAGAGTGGCCTGTAAGCGTCCGAACTCCACTGCGCGACCGGCTTACTCGATAGCGGGGTTGGCGAGAGAACGGTGGTGAATCCTAATCTGGGTGTGGGCGGACAGAGTGGGCTTTTCGTATCCAATATTGGGCCAGATATCTCGCGTTTATCAATCGAAGGTGTGCGAGAAGAGCGCGAAGAGCGAGAGGAGCGTGACGAGCGTGAAGATGAGTCCCTTCTGCCTTTGATTGAATCGGTTAGTTTGGACCACGAGAAGGAGCGATCTGAGCGAGTCTTCGAAGTCGACGTCTTCTTTGCCAGCGGCCGGGGCGGAGTGACCTCGCCCATGGGTATGAGATGGTCACCCTCGCTGACCGACCGCTTGAGCCTGACAACGGCCTCGCGGTCCAACATTGTCGCGCAGGTGAAGAAGCGGGCGCGCTGTTGGTGCGAAAAGGCTGGACTATCATGACTGGAAGCTTTACTTACAGTTTTGTTATGATGCTTTAAGTGGAGTGCTTGAGGTGAATGCGGCTCATGTGCGCAGTCGCGTGCAGTGGGCGTCAGCGTTCGTCTACATTCACACCTCCGCACTGCGGGGCGTCAGCGGGCTTATCGACGAGATAGAATTACAACACAGGATAACAAGTCTAATGGGGAGAAGCGAAAGAACACAGAACGAAGAGGCGATTTGCTGCAAGGGGATGGAATGGCGATGCCATCTGTCAGAGGTCCGAGCCTCCAAGTGTTTAACATGCGAAACAAGGATCCAGGGTCTCGACTGCTGATCGCGCTAAGGCAACTTTAAATCGGTTTAGGCAAAGCGCTCCCCACCCTCCCGTGCCTGACATCATCCCCGCCACAGATGCGCGCCGCCTTCGAGACCAGACCTGCCAACTTTTGGGGTCCCAACCGACAGACACGACATGCCCCTTGTATACCCTTTGCTGTGTGCATCATTTGATCTTATTCCAGACTGATCTCAAGCAAGTTATATTTCCATCTACACAGCTACAACTAAATCCGACCATGGTCTCCCAACCCATCGGCACCAAGAAGACGCCTGTCACATCCACGGCGAAGAAGCCACCTGTGAAGGCTCCAGCAAAGAAGGTGCCAGTCAAAGCCCCGGCTGTACAGCCACCCAAAAAACCCATCAACACGGCCATGCAGAAGAAATCCGCGGCGACAACCCCCAAGAAGCCAGTCTCTACTGTGGCTTCCAAGAAGCCCACGACAGCAGTCGGACAGAAGAAGCCTATCCCGGCGCCAGCGAAGAAAGAGATCCCAAAATCTCAACAGCAAGGCTGGCTCAGCAAAGGCCTTAGTGCCGCACAATCTGGAATTGGCAGTGCTGTGGGCGCAGCTACCACTGGCATAGGCAATGCTGCTGGTGCCGTCGTCACAGCAGCAGGGAGTGGCGTTGCTGGGGCGGGCAGAGGCGCTGGGGCAAGGTGAGTCTGTTGTAATCATGATTCAAGTGCTCGGCTGATCTCATGTAGCATTGCAAATACGTCCCGTACATGGGGCGACATGGTCCGCGAGTACGGTAATTCGCTCAAAGATATCACTGGTGCCACAGGCAGTCGATCGTCGACGCATAAAAACCCTCTGGGTCTGAGCACAAGTGGAGCAGGAGGTACGGCATCTATGGCCAGTAGGCCCGGAGTACCTGGTCTCTCTGGAGGCTCGACCAGGAGTGGAACAGCAAGTAACCCACTGGGACTCTAGATGGTGATCAATCATTCTGATGAACCATATCAATTGTGATTGGGTTTAGTGACTAAGTAGAAACCTTACGTTTCGGCTCTCTACGTGAGGTATTTTGTGATTTAACTTTGTTTTGTAGCATGTAGCAAATGAAATTCATTTCTGTAAAACGAAAACAAAGCAAATGAATCATGATCAAAAAATGGAACAAAGACGTCACATGAATAAAACACATCGTGTTTTCGAATCAACGAAGCAGTCGTCGGCTGTTTTAGCCTAGTATACTTCTAGGCTTGATGAGGTTGTATTCGACCCCCTTAGTAGTTAGGGCGCCTGGTACGCGTTGTCTCACCATTATGCGTAGATGAAAAATAGTCGCAACCATATAATAATTAGATATAAGCACGCCATTCCAAGTAAAGGTAATTTATTCAAACGATATCCACAAGAACAGTAGTGATATCAAAGCCCATTTTTACTGATAGTGAATGCATCACGTGCTGCTATCGATAACGCTAGCGCCGTTTATCGCAGTCGGAAATTTGGAGGCAACTCCAGAGAAGAGACCTGAACCAGCACCTTTATGTCTGTCGCGCTCACAGCATATAGTTTTTCAATGCGGCAACATTGAGTTGTCATCTGTTTTTGCTTGCGGATTTGCCACTGCGCCGGCTGATGCTCAGGCTTTGTCGACCACGATGCCTTACCCACTCCACTCCGTACTTTCAGTCCCGCTGTTTACGCACATTTCCTCGAGAAATACCGACGTACATTGCGCAATGGGACCCGACATTGCACAAATCGGTTTCGCTGCCGAATGAGCATAAAAAAGCCCCCGAGGCAGCCCTTTGCGACACACCTAGCGCCACAATCCCTCGAGACTTCATAGACACACAAAACGCTCTAATCGCGTTGCACGATGGTTGTTTTGCGCAGCGATATGCACTGACACGACTCAACCGCCTTCTACGCCTTGCCAACGACACTGGCGGCCGCGATGATAGTCTCCGGGCACCCTTATGGCGGGCGTATTTGTTGGCGAAAGCAATCGATCCTCGTTTGTTAGACCGTCTTTCGGAACGAGCGTGGGATTTGCTATGGAGTATGCAGTCTGTCAAGTCGCTCAGTAACCGTAACCGCACCGCACACTTGGAACAGCTCTGTCGCGACATGGAGAAGGTCCGAACGGCCACGACTGTTGGACAGAGAGCCCGATATCTCGAAAGCGTGTTTCTTAGTGGTAGGGAACGCGACGCCATCGCCAAATGGGAACAAGACCATGTCTCAGGTCATAGCCGACGAGAAAGCCCTAGGGCAGAGCATATGGAAATTGGAGCCAAACTCCACGCGCTCGCCGGGAATGTAGACCGCAGCAGGAACATCATGGACAGGCTATTTCAACTCTATCCTGCTTGGGATACTTCTGTCATGATGACTGTATTCCGCGCTCACACAAGCTCGGGGCTTCAAGAACACCATCATCTAGCAAAAAAGATCTATGACAAGATGAAGGATCAGAAAGGCAACAGTTGCACAATCGAAGACTACGATGCTTGGCTAGTGGGTTTCTTGGAAGCACGAAATCTCGCCTATTCAAAGCAAGTCTTCCGAGACATGGTCAAGGCAGGTTGTCTGGCTGCTAGTGGGAATACCGAGCGAGTGAAGCAAGTTTTGAAGAGACTGCACTTGCTTTATCGCCTTGGCACGGACATTTCTAAGATGACGAGTATCGCGCTTCACGCCATATCAGTGCTTCCGCCAGTCTATCATGGCCATCTATTCGGCGACTGGATGAAGTTGGCCGTTGTTGAGAAGACACCCGAGGCGGCTGCTCAGATTTTGGACATGATGATGAAAAGAGGATACCGGCCAGAAACATTCCACTTCAACATGCTGCTCAGAGCCCTGATACGCACAAAAGAAACACCCAATATTCTAAAAGCAGAGAACATAGGATGGCGTATGATCGATGCGGCCTGCAAAGCACGCGAGAGACGCCCACCTCCGGGTGTACAAACCAGGAGCGTCAACAAGCATATCAATGTCAACGGTGTGGATGCACGTACTGCACAGGGAGTTCCCACAGCCAATGTCACTACGTTTGCCCTCATCATGCACCATCATGCCAAGAGCCTGCAATGGGAGCATGTGGAATACCTAGTTCGTCAGCTCAAGGAAACAAGCATTGAGCCGAATGCCACCATCATGAACGTCATCATGGATAACAAGTGTCGCCAAGGAGCATATAGCGAAGCATGGCTGGTCTACAAAGCTCTCACCAACCCACAAGAAGGCAGTACCGGCGTCTTCCCGAATGGCGCTAGTTTCCGTTGTCTCTGGAAAACGCTCCGCCTAGCACTTGGAGATCACGCCACGCGGCATGACCCTGGTCTACCTACGCCTCGCGAGCTCCTTAAGGAAATGTCAGCTTGGTGGGCGCTCAGCGGCAGCCGCTACGACGCCGATCGGTTCAAGATGGGCCTCGCAGGTGCTGATAGTGGGGCCATAGCTTCACTCATCATGCACTGTTTCAGCTACACTCAAGACTTGGCTGGCTCGTTGGTCGCTTTGCATGTACTACGACACAAGTTTTCCATCTTCCCTACTGATAAAGCGGCCCATATTCTGCAACGGCAAATGGCTTGGGTAGACATGGCGCGCGAATCAGAATCCGTGCGCAGCCAATACTTCCACAGCCGCTCTAACAAGAAGAACACGGAGCGTGTGGTCAGAGTATACAATATTCTATTACAGCAGCGGCTGGATAGGATGAACCTCAAGGAGGGGGAGTATGAGAAATTGACCGACGAGCAGATTGGAGATGTCGGGTTGAACTTGTTAAGCGAGTATGTGAGGGTGGTACTCAAGAGGAGTTATCCACCTGAGATTGTAGAAGCCATGGTTGATGCTGCCAGGTGTGCGGTGGGTCTTCCCGACTTGCCTACCGGGGATATGGATGCTTTTGAGGTGGCTTGAGCAGCGCGGGGAAGATGAAGATGTTGATGATGATTGATATTTCCATTGGTAGCATCAATGACCATGCAATCTACAATGATACAAGTATTACAAAATGCAGCCATGTCTCGCAATGTACAAAAATGTGGCGACGCTGTCGAGTCTATCATTATGAAGCACATTTGAATGCTTACAAATTTACAGGATATCTATTCCTCAGCTGCTCGCCAAAAACGTAGAACAAAACGGGAGCGGGTGCAAGAAGCAAGCTGACGAAGGCGAAAGTACTAATACCCCATCCATAACCTAGTTTCTCAAACAAGGCAGGGGCAAAGATGGGAACAACGCCTCCGATAACGCTGCGGAATACCGTTCCAGCAGCTATGGCGCTTGCGGCGTATTTTTCAAAGCTGTCGATGAAATAATTCTGCGTGCTATTCAGAATCATAACCTGGCCGACGCCGTAGAAGAAGGTCGCCGACAGTGAGGCAAGCCAGTGCGTATGCTTGTCAACAGCCCATGCAAACCAGAAGAGCGACACGGGAATAAAGACGGAGCCTATGTTTGCCAGAGGTAGGCGAAATTCCGGCCTTGCTTTTCCATAGTTTTTGGCCGTGAGCGACTTGTATACTGTGTCGATGCGAGGCACGAGAAACCAGACGGCGAATAAGAAGCCACAGCCTGGCCCGAGGTAGAGCAGGCCAACCTTCTCCGTCGAAAAGCCGTAGTCGTCGCCGTAGATGGGCTGCATGTTTGTGTAGATGCTGTAGGTGGTGCCGAAGACGAGAGCTTGATATACCGACATGACTGCGACAATGGGTTGGGCGAAGATCTTGGGAGGGCGCTTCAAAGCTTGTGCAATCTTTTCACTCAGCGGGCGTGAATCCTCGCCTTCAAACGAGTACTTTGTGTCATCCCACTCGGGGGTCTGCGCCTGGAGCTCTGCCTTTTTACCGCTGAGAATGACGGGTGCGTAGGTTTCGCGCAGGAAGAAGTAGCCAGCCAGGGTATTGACACAGCACACAATCGTCATGATCCAGAAGATCCACCTCCATCCAAGCCGCTGCACGATGACTCCACCAACGAGAGGGCCTAGCGTGGGGCCTAAGAGCGGCCCAAGAAGATACCAACCGAAGACGCCTGCCCGTTCACTCGGCAAAAACATATCGCTGATGGTGCCGCCGCCATTCGCGATGCCTACGCTCCCGAAGAAGCCCGCAAAGCTGCGTACGGTGATGAGAAAGGCGATGTTGGGTGCGAGGGCAGCGGGAATCTGAAGCAGAGCGAAGATGGCGAAGCACACAAGGTAGATTTTGCGCCGCCCAAACGTCTCAGACAGGGGCGCGAGAATCAACGGACCGAAACCCAACATGACGACGAAGCCGGTGGTTGTGCCAATGACGGCAGTCTGAGAGCAATGCAGGTCTTGTGCGATTTGGGCGATGCCGGGCGTGAACATGGATGAGACGAGGGGACTAAGAACTATCATGCGTTTCTTAGTAAATAGTGCCAAATTAACAAAGGAGGCCGATGAGTAGGATATATGTACATACTTGACATGAGGGCTATAACGGCCACATTTGCCATTTTGCTTGCTCTTGGCCATGCTCGCGGGTTCTCGTTGCAGGATAGGTCTTGGATGCGGAGATGCTGTGTCAGATCAGTGCATGTTTTGGTTGTGTGGATGCGTAAAAGGCCAACGTACCGTGCAAGGATGTCCTTGTTCACTCCATGTTTGCTGTAGGAGCGGCGAGCGCTCGTCGTGTCGGGGCATGTTTATGATCGTGGAAGCGAAGAAAGATTGTAGGTTCCGAGCTACCGCATGTAAGAGGGCTTTTTAAGAAGAAAGGCTGTTTCCGAGTTCATGGTCGCAGCAGTATAGTTGGACAGTGGGCGTCATTGTGGCTAAAGCAAGCATCCTGTTTAACCGCGTTGGGGAGGGCGCAAGTGACCCTTTTTAGCTTTGGAGCGTCATCGATGTTGGTCTGGGGAGAGAGAGAGATGCTAGATCGGGCGATGGGGGATCGGCAAGGTTCAGCTTGATCTTGTCAAGTACTAGGATGGCCAATATTGTTGGTGATTTGCTCTTCACGATATGGCGCCTATTGATTGTATGCTTTTGCAGCCACTGTTTCAAGTGTATCAACAAAAAAAAGAAGAGCCATGGGAATAGATGAGGAAATGGAGGTGGCAGCTTGCAAATGGGCTAATCATGTGTAGTGGAATGGATTACAAGGGGGTCAATAGACGTACTCTTCGCTTGGAAATGCTACTTTACTCAAGTATGGTGTTGGCAAAGCCTGCTTGGCTAGAGCAAGGGTTGAGACTCTAAGTACTGGTATCTAGTTGTGTGGTAGTGTTCAGTACAAGTAACCCAAAAAGCTAGCTTAGTTGAACCTTGCCAGAAAGTCAGATTATTTAGTAATGATCTAACCCCGCATTCCAGGCAGCCGTCATTGCAACATAGCGTGCATGTTATTCACATGAAGCCATCATAACATGGCACTGTATACTCGGCTATAGTCACAATCAAAAATCAAACCATGTCCAAAATGTAAGTATCGAATCTTCTCCGAGAGATAGCGTTGTGACCAGACTACAGCACCACCCGCAACCAATCATGTTCCCCACTACTACGCCTCCCAGCCGAACTACGACAGGAAATCTACATGCACACAATCACGATGCCCGAGTCGGCGTGGAGCCACTGTGACTACAGGACCTACTTTTCTTCAAAGTATAGCTATTTCATGAAGCAGCCAGACGCATTGGCAAGGATGAAGCGCAGCAAACAACGACATGTAGCGCAAAAGCACTTGTCCGTTATCCTTGCCTGCAAGCAGACGTATGCAGAGTGCAGACTGCTGCCTTTTACGCTCAACACCATTTGGTTTGATTCTGGGACGCGCATGAGCCAATGGCTTGGCCAGTTGAGCGAAGAACAGAGGCACGCTGTACGGTCGTTGCGTCTAGAGTATACGTGGTCGATGAGAAAGGGTCTTTTGCATGGCACGGCAGCACAGGCGACTCGGGCGTGGCTACTCGAGTTGAGAGGCTTGAGGCGCGTGGAAATCAGCATCAAAGATGCATTTCTCATTACACGCACAGACGAGGCGACACAGGAACTAGTCAGAAGAATGGATGCTGCGACGGAAAGCTTGAAGAGGTCCATGGAGGACGAGAGACCGGGGCTAGAATACGTGGTTAGAGCTGTAGAGCTGGCTGGCTCGGCTTGACGACACGAAGGAGAGTGTTTGAGGCTATAGATAGCTGCCACTTGAAAAGCGGTCACTGAAGCCTTTGGACTTGGCCAACATGTCTCTCCGCTGCTTGTGAGTCGTGGTGCCACTAACAGCCATGTCCTTGTTATAGTCGAATGCGCGCTTGCTGGGGTCGTCTTCCAAATCTTTGCCAGAGCCCTTTTCTTGGTGCTGCTCAACAAGGCTCTTTCCTCTGCTCGCATCAATCTTCTCGCGCATCTTGCGGGCGCGCCGCTCTTCTTCTTTGCTGCGCTTGGGCTCTGAAGCACCCGGTGTGGGATTGGTGGGCGCGCTAATGCCCAGAGCCTCGTCTTGCAGGCGCTTGAGCTTCTGCTCTGGCGTTTCGGTCCACGCGCTGCTCATCCCCCCCGTGCTTCCCGCACTCTTGCCCGTGTTGAATTTTCGTGCGCGCATCTTGGAGGGGTCCATGCGCGCAGCAAGGTCATCCTGCGTGGGCGGCATAGTCATCCATTCGTCGCGTTGCGCGGCCTTGGGGGCTTCTGCAAACCGAGGCTCTGCATCAAAGGCAGACGCTGCTGAGGCCATGTCGAAGTCTGATTGCGCGCCTCCGGCTGGCGGGGGCGCGGGCCCAAAGTCATCGTCGCTGCTATCCGAGGAGTCGTCGTCGTCGTCGTCTTTGGGAGGGTGCGCCGGCTGTTCGCTGAGGGGCGCAGGCGGCGGCGCAGGCCCTATAACTCGGGCTGGTTTGGAGGCAGGCGGCGGGGCGGGGCCGACGTCGCTTTCTGCACTGCTCGATGGCGAAGGGCTGCGTGGTGGTGGCGGCAACGAGGGCCCTGCAACGGGGCCCGCGACTCTTCGGCGCTTGTCGGTCGACTCTGGGCTGGATGCGCGGTGCTTGTCGTCGTTATCACTACCATCGCCGCCGCCGTCGCGGCTGCGCTTGGCGAGATGCGGAGGCAGGGCTGGTCCTATCGAGGGCATGGCGGGGTGGCGTGTGGGCGTGGATGGCGTTGGGGTGGGCAAACTTCAGTCGGCCCAAGACGGGTGACGTCTTGCAGGAGCTTGGACCCTGGGCCAACGCTGCGGCAGCTGCGGCCGGCGAAGACTAGGGAAAGGAAGCCACGCCGGGCCTGAGAGCAAGAGCGACAGCGACAGCGCGAGTGCCAGCATCCATCGCTTGGCAGCAGACGAGCCCTTCGGCTCACCCAGACACGCCCATCCGCGCCCATCCCAGCGTCACCAACCCCCCAATTGCGCCCCTCCGCCCCTCCGCCCAGCCAGCCTCCAGCCTCCGTGTCGCACGCCATCCCCGCGCACGCCCATCCCGACGCCCGCACACTCCACGATCCCGAGAACAAGCGCCGCCGTCCGATGATTGCCTGAAGCAATGCTGCGTGCACAACGAGCCTCATGAGCTCAGATTCGGGAGAGAGCCACTCCAGCGCTCGCAGCCACCATGGACACGATGCGATAGACGTCACGCGACGCGCAGCCCATGCTTCGCCCGAGCACGACCGCCGTGTTGGCGAGAGTGCAGTCGCCAGGCCCGGCGCTGGAGACCAACATGAAGAAGCCGAGGCCAGCGACACAGACGGAGCCCAGTCGGTCGACACCACTCCCGACGACTTGACGTTTGCGAAAACGAGGCAGAGCGATACAATCACGCCGGGCATGCTCAACGACGACAGCCCGCCCTCAACAGACATTCCCGACGACACCCCATCCGTCCAGGGATCAGCCATATCTTCGCCCACCAGCAGTGTGCCTGTGTCGCATAGCTCGCTCCGAGCCCACCGCCCCACGTCTTTGCAGCCCTTTGAGCGCCGCTTCTCCTCGCGCCTATCCCCCTCCCCGCTGGGCACGCGCCTTCAGTCGCCGGGTTTCCTGTCGCCCCATTCGCGCCACTCCTCTCAGTCTGGCCACTTCATCTTTCAACAGTCATCTGATGATGTGTCCGAAACCTCCCACGCGCCTTGGGACGTGGTTCGCTGGACCAAGCTTCGGAAAATCACCACGCACGTCTTCTCAGAGGTTGGCAGGCGCAACTTTGGTCGACCAACCTGCCTCAACGTTGCCGTGTCCCTCGCAATAGGCACCTCGAAAGGCTTGATCCTCATCTTCGACTACCAGCAAGTACTCAAGTCCATCATTGGGCCCGGCACAAAGGCTATAGAATGTGGCTCCCTCACCGCCCTGGCTATTTCTGCTGACCACACAACCATCGCTGGTGGCCATGCAACTGGCCACATCTTCACATGGGAGTTGGCGAAACCAGCAAGGCCCTTTCTGCACATCCCGCCACTGGAGAGGGCAAGCATGGAAGATGGAAAGTTGGACGGCCACGTATCTGGCGTGGCAATCCTACATTTGGGCTTTTTGGGCACGCGCCACACAGCATTGGTCTCCGCTGATGATGCCGGCATGGCCTTCTCCCATCTGGCAACCCGAGGCTTCGGAGCCTTGGGCCGGACAGTCAAGACGACTCGAATTTTGGGAAGATACCCACTGTCGCCTAAATCGCTGGAAAAGCCGCGAAAGCCAAGCTCGGTGCTCGCCTTTGCTCCACTTCCTCTGGGAAACGTGGAGCAGCCCACCGACGACATGGGACTGACGGCTCTCTTGACACCCTATCTGCTAGTGATTGTATCAACAACACCCATCGCACAAACACAGCACAAAGCCCCTCGCCCAAAGGATGTTGCAGCCCATAGTGCCCTCAGCGGATGTCTCGCCTGGTTCCCAGCTGTCAAGTTGAAGACTTCAAGTGGGTCCAACAACGCAGTCTCCAAAACCAAGCTTGTGTATTGCTGGTCCAACGTCTTGACTGTGCTTGATGTCCACTCGGACACAGCTGCGTCTTTGGAGAAAGACAAGCCACCGGAGCTTCATTTCAAGCCCCGAAGCCGTTGGAAGGCGGAAGAGTCCATCGTTGCTGTTCAGTGGCTAAGCAGATCGGTGCTTGGTGTCTTAACCATCAGCCAGCGCCTGATGATTCTTGAAGACAACACACTGCGCGTGACCGACTCTTTTGATCTCTTGCAAAAGCACATTTACCACTCGGACCTCTTCTCGCGTCAGCTCAAACCCGTCGTTGAGCAGCTCAACGAAGACGACACGTCGATGCATGGTGTTGTGGCAGATGCCTTCTACATGAGTTTTAGAGTGTACAAGGGCCGCATGTTTCTTCTAGGCTTCAATGACTGTTCTATTGGTACTCTTTCAAACTGGGCAGATCGTTTAGTCGCGCTGATGGAAGATGGCGATTACATTGCTGCCCTCGGTCTTGCAACTTCATACTATGTTGGTGATGCAGACAAAATTACCGTTGGATTGCCTGAAGATGATGACGCACGCCATGCCTTGGTGCAGCCCAAGCTGCTTGAGATGATTACCGCGTCTATCAAATACTCACTCTCACAAAATGATGATGCTGACGAGGAAGCAAGAGAGCGCCGATTGAAAGAGCTGGCCGAGGTGGTATTCGCGGGATTGCTTAGCATGCAAGAGCTTGACTTTCTCTTTGAACAAGTCTACGACGCTTACGAGGAGGCGTCTGCAGCGCGAGCCTTCTTCGAAACCCTTGAACCATATATACAAGATGAAGAGATTGATTCCATACCCCCCAATGTTCTCAAGGATCTCATCACCTTCTACGCGTCGGAGAACCGTTCGACCCGGCTTGAGGAGATGATATGTCGACTCAGTACCGATACCATGGACCTCAACCAGGTCACTACGCTTTGCCAGCAGTATGTTTTGTACGACGCGCTCATATACGTCTGGACCAATGCGATTGGTGATTACATCACGCCTCTCATCCACATCTTGGAGCTCATCAAGCTGGTGGATTTTGATGTCGATGAGACGGAGAATATCTATCTTACCGCAGCTAATAAGATTTTCCCCTACCTCGCGTACACCTTCACAGGCCGCGTCTATCCCGGAGGCGCATTCATGGATGATGACCAGGCTTACAGTGCCAAGAAGGACATGTACAGGTTCTTGTTCTCTGGGAAGAATTTGCAATGGCCACCTGGTTCTGGCAAAGTCATCACTACACAAACCGACAACAGCCCTGAACCACCCTTTCCTTACCTGCAACTTGTCCTAGACTTTGACGCGTCAAGTTTCATGAGTATGCTCAATGAAGCTTTCGAGGACAGCTTTTTGAACGGAGAACAAGATATGCCCAATGGAACACAGGTCAACGGCACCAAGAATGGCGCTATCCTCACCCCAACCCGACAGTCCATCATCAACTACCTTTTCGGTATCATGAACACGGATAACTTTGATCCGGCAGATATTGTCTATTTCTACATGTTTGTCGCCAGAAATCTCCCCAAGTACCCACAGCACATCATGCTTCCAGGATCCTCGCTACACCAGGTCCTTGTCGGTCTGTGTAACTATCCTACAGAGGCTTTGAAAGAAGACTGCCAGCTCTCTGTTGAGTATTTGCTATCCATCTACCATCCTCCAAATCCACAAAACCTTGTTCCGCTGTTTGAGAAGGCTGGATTCCATCGTGTCTTGAAATCTGTCTACCGCGGCGCACAGCAATACGATAAGCTTCTCGAAACATATCTTGACGACAAGGACGACGAGGACTCGGTATTTGCATGTATCACTGATACTATGCGCCCCAACAAAGGCCTTACCAAAAAGCAGGTCAACGAGGTGAAGAGGGTGATTCTCAATCGAGCTGCTGATCTTGCTAGCGTGGACGCTGCGCAGACGGCGACAACCCTGAAGCAATATGCACCAGATCTCCTCGAGCCCGTCTTGAACGCTGTGAGAGAGGACAATGATGCACAATATCACTTTCTTGAAGCTCTCATCGAACCAGAGCGGATACATACCGGTGGCACTAGGCCCATCAACGAAGCTCTCCCCCCAGGATTCATCGAAAGATATGTACAACTTATGTGTACCTACAATAGTGCACATGTCGCGGACTTTGTCAGCTTGTTAAAATCAGGTGACCTTGAGCTGGAACCTGTCCTTCCAGCGCTGGAAAAGAGCGGCGTCATTGATGCTGCAATCATACTCATGGCGCGCGATGGCATTGTAAAAGGAGCCATGGATCGCTTGGTGAAGCATTTGGGTACGCTTGACACTGCCCTGACAGGCCTCATAAGTGGCGCTGCAGAGACACCTGATGTGGCAAATACCGAAGAGGCAATACACGATCTCCTTGACAATATTCAAAAATACATCAAGGTCGGCATATGGTTGTGCCAAGGACAGACAAGGATGTCAGAGCGGACACCAGAGTCCAATATTGACCGGCGGAAATCTGTCTATGGTGAGGTGCGAGAAGAGGAGCTCGCCTTGGATGAGCTGCTATGGCTTGATCTTGTTGATACCTCTGTGCGCCTCATCAGAGACACTTCTGGTGCTGTTACCGAGCATGACGCTTCCGTTTCTTCGTCAAATACCAGCCAAGCCGACACTGTTGACACTGCGCGCATTGTCTCGACCCTCCGCTCTACAATCCAGCAGACATTCTCTGCACTTTTAACATCAACCACCATTCCACTAGAGAAGAAGTCTAATCAGACAGGCCCAGTCACAGAGGCATCTATTCGCAGGCCGCCCCTGTACCATACCCAATCGAAACCGCAGTCCAATCCCTCTTTTCTCCGCATCTTGCGCTGTTTTCTCACGCGCGCAGCGCGCACCTACTCGCCTTCTCTTTCCGATCTCCGTTCCGTCTTATCGGAAATCTTTGCCGCCTACACCTTTGAAGAAACCATCCTAGGTCTCGCAAACCGTTTCCTAGATAAAGAGAGCTTCGAGCATGTCCACGAGATTACTGAGCTGAGAAAGCGAGGCTGGACACCAAGGGGCCAGGTGTGCGAAGAGTGCAAAAAGAGGGCTTGGGGCCCCGGGGCTGGCCCGGGAGTGTGGGAGACCTGGGAGAAGCGTGAGGAGGAAAGAGCCAAGAGCAGAGCGGAAGCGGGCCATGACCATGAAACAAGTGGAAAACGAAAGGGCAAGCGACCGAGCCAGGCCAATGTGCTGGACGATGGGCAAGAAGAAGAGCAAAAGGGAGAAAGTCTTGTCTTATTTGCTTGCAGGCATCTATGGCACAGGACATGTCTGGACAAAGTGAGGACAGCCGATGGGGTTAATGGTACTGAAGACATGTCGAGGATGCAAGGGAGGATGGGGCTTCACTGCCCACTTTGTTAACATACCGTAGGAGATTGCTGTGAAATGATCATATCATATTTCCCACGCAATTTCTTCATTTCATATAGCACTTCTTTGAACGCTTGTCGGGCGGTCCTTTATGATCATGTCGATTCTAATGTTGGAACACTATTTGTACTCGACATATCATGTTGTTAGCGCTTTTGTTCAGAATACATCCATTATATTAGTCTAATACTAATGGCTGGGAGAGGCAGGCTCCACATGTTGGGGCTACTTTATTACGAGAGATATCACTGATCATACAATAACATTACACGGCACGCTAATTTGACTGCCTTTACGATCTTCACACGTGACACTAATCTGCTTTGATACTCCAATCGTATACCTTCCTTGTTCATGTGGTCCAGCCCTTTGCACCTGGAGCACTAATTTGGCCCTCCTGGATGATCTTCTCCTCGCTTTCGTTGTCCGTGATAATGTTTGTCGAGGCAAGCTACACACTGCGCTGGCCCGTCTGACTCCTGGCTGATGCGCCGCCACCAATAGTAACAAACCCGCTACCCGGTCGGTGACTTGTATGCCTTGGAGTTGTTCGAGTTCAACAAGCTGGAAAGCTACGTTGGGGGGGAGGATTTCAGCAATGGGAAAATCATCAAAAGGTTCGTTGTCACAATGCTACAAAAGTCTCGCGCGTGCCCCACGAGGCTTCTGAGACGCACATAGATGTGCTTGCTGCATCTCTTGTCATTTACAACTCGACCGACCAAGAACAGAATGATGCTGTCAAGCTACTGGGAATGCCCAGCGAAGAGATGCATACCCATGTCCACTATGCATATGGTAACGAGGGGTCATGGAGCTGGCATGGGTACGAGAATTGTATACAGGAAACGCTCAAAGGATTAGAGTAGAAATATGATTCAGAGAGCAGGTTGAGATTTTACGCACCAAAAGCATGATATACCGTTAGGTAAGAAGAAAACCCAGGAAGTCTCACAAATACCAATACTTTTCTCGGCATTAAAGAGTTAATGGCTACGTAACGAGATTTTGGCCTCTTTCTAGATATTATGCATATCGATATATAAAGTGATGGCGATGTAGAGAAAAATCCGAAGCGCCTGTTGAGCAATTCAATGTAGGAAATGTTGCCCAGGAGCAATAGGACAGGGTATGGTGGAGTATGATTCATGACCACTTTGCTCAACGAGACTTGTTGAGCAAGGCAACAGACGCGTCCGAGCAAGGGTTTTCTCTTGTCCTTTCATACCCTAGACATTGAGTGCAGATCGTGACTTTGTTAGGATATTACTGCATCAGATGAAGGATCGCGGGGTAGTGAGCTAGATTTAATTGGGCTTTGACGAGCCATGTTATGCCCGCTGGATAATGTATTCTTATCAGGCCATCATATCTTGCATGGGGGTTGAGAACACCCCAGGCTCGGGAGCTGCGATCAGACTCCCTTGCCCTGCCACTTCTGGGAAGTGTGATGTGTAATTGGGTCGTTTATGAGATTTCGGGTTATTGTGCCGGAGGGTAGTTTGAATTCTATGCAGCATGCATTAGCTCGACGCATTCCACAGCGTGGAAAGGTAAGATAGTAATTCGCACCATGTTACTAAGTCGGGCTCCGCGGTACTATGGAGAATCCCTTACCAGGAGCTATAAATGCATACTGTTTGCACTGCACGCATCAAAATAGTCTGACATCGAAAAAATCGACGCCTCGACCAAAATGTCTGTTCCAATGCATTTAGCACTGGCAACCATGATAGCTTTGGTACTGTATCGACTCAGCAGGATTGGACGAAGACCGACAGACTATCCTCCAGGACCAACAACATTACCGTTAATTGGCAACCTCCATTTGATGCCCAAGGAGAAGGGACATTTGCAATTCCAGAAATGGGCTGAAGAATACGGACCAGTGTATTCTCTAATCCTTGGAACCAAAGTCATGGTTGTGCTGTCCACGGACCAAGCGATAAAAGACTTGCTCGATAAGAGAAGTAACATCTACTCTTCCCGTCCGGATATGTACTTGGGTCAGATTATGAGTGGAGGTAACCGAATGCTACTAATGGTGAGGCAGGCACCAGGAATGGCTGCTTAGATTGACAGCTTACATATTGTCAGGAGTATGGTGATACTTGGCGCATGATCCGCAAGGTTGTCCACAACAACTTGAACATCAAGGCTGCGCGAACATACGTACCGTACCAAGACCTAGAGAATAAGGCGATGCTCATGGGATTTCTGGACAAACCCGACCTGTTTATTGACCACGTCCGGCGCTACACCAATTCTCTGACGACGCAGATGATCTTTGGCTTTCGCACAACAAGTATCGATGACCCAAAGCTGAAGCAGCTTTTCCACGTGAGTTTGCCATATTTGAAATAACGTAATTGCTGACAGAATTTGAGGGATTTGAGAAATTTTCCGAAGTACTTGGCTCTCAGACAGCCGCTCTTTTTGACGTGTTCCCTCTGATCCGGAAGCTACCGGACTGGGCTGTTCCCATGAGACGGTATGCAAAAGAACTGCACAAGAAGGAAAAGGAACTCTATTTGGGACACTGGATGAATGTGAAGAAAGCTATCAAAAATGGCACTGCCAAGCCATGTTTCTGTGTTGACTTGGTGAGAGCCCAAGACGAGATAGGCTTTTCTGATGAACTTGCCTGCTATACAAGCGGATCACTGCTAGAGGCGGGTTCCGATACTACTGCCTCAACGCTCATAGGCTGTGAGTATCTTTGAAGTCAATGTTAGAGATCGATATCTTTGTTGACATAATACAGTCATCCAAGCCATGGTACTTTTCCCAGAGGTGGTCAAGGCTGCCCAGGAAGAGCTTGACCGAGTATGTGGTGATTGTTTCCCTACTCTGGAGGATGCGCCAAATCTACCATATATCCGTGGTTGTGTCAAAGAGAGCATGCGCTGGATGCCAACAGATATCCTTGGAGTCCCACATGCTGTCATTCGAGATGACGAATACATGGGCTTCAAAATTCCGAAGGGGGCAGGTGCCATGTGGAATGTCTGGGCTGTACACATGGACCCCGAACGTCATCCAGATCCGCATCGCTTTGATCCTGCTCGGTACATTGATGATTACCAGACAGCAGCTGAAGCTGCAAACAACCCCGATGCTTCAAAGCGCGATCATTTTGTTTTTGGCGCTGGTCGGCGTCTATGTCAAGGTATGCACATCAGCGAGAGGTCCCTGTTCCTTGCCATATCTCGATTACTCTGGGCCTTCAATTTTAGAAAGGTCGTCGATAAGAATGGCAAAGACATAGTGCCTGATCCAAGCAATCTCACGGAGGGATTACTCGTCGTGCCAAAGCCATTCCCAGCAAACATTGTACCAAGAGATTCTGGTAGAGTTGAAACAATCAAGGCCGAGTGGAACAAGATGGAACAGTTACTTGACGCCAACTTGCAATGGAAGACATTGCCGGATGGTATGATATGGAAGACGTATAAGCAAGCCAGCTGAGTTTAACACGAGAATAAAGGGTGCAAGGGATCTGGAAACATTTTCTGCAGGATATGCAAGGATCAAAAAGCAGTCTCTAAACTGCCTTAAGGTGAATACATAAAGCATATATCTGCAGATACTCCAGTACTTCGTGACATATCCTTCAAGCCTAATGGCTTGAGTATAGTTGGCATGTGGGATAACTTTACATTCCATAGCTTAGCTACGGGTGGCAAAAGTTTGCTACTTATAAGTAAGATGCTAGCAAGGTCACCATTAAGCTGTCGGTTGAACTTCACAACACCCATTTGGGGTAGAAGAACCCCATAAGAGCCTCGAACTATAGAGAGATATCTGTCAGTTTGTGAATTCGTTACGTCACAAATACCCATCAACGATCAGGGCCCGAATGCAATTGCGGGGACGAGGCTGAGAGTTTAGATAACCCATTCAAGGTATTGAGGCCAGAGAAAAGACACAAGCCTCGCACCATGTTATCGGACACAAAAGGCTCAAGCGCCCAAGGGAAAGCGGCTGTCTACAGGATCCATATATTTCCTCTCTTCTTGACTCAGTGGCTGACCTGTAAATATATTGAAGCAAAAAATAAAGCCCAAATGAAACGGCTTGAAGAAGCTTTTGTCACGGCTGTCATTTGACACATGTCGTAACATGAAAGAATCTTGGCAAGTTATTGTGGTATTGTGTATGAACTGAAACATGCTGAAAGAATTTACAGGTCGACTCCAGACCTCATTTGACTCCTATTAACATCTTTCCATTTAGTTGACCTTTGCCTGGGACAGACTGGTAATCTGTTTGGCACCGTCCTGGATTTTGCCATCGGCCGCCTTGAAGCGGCACAGAACGCCGGAGCGCTCCTTGACCGCATTGTCGCACACCAATTGGCTGGTTGCAACACAGTTCAGAGCACCGCTGCCTAGTAAATGGCGTGTCAGTATTGGCTCATTGTTTGACAGAGGGAGCACCCTCTATGCCTTTTCTCTACTTACATGCAGCTGGGCCTCCAGGAACACACTTGCCAGCGGATCCGTCGACCGTGCAGCCATCCTGCTTCAGAGATTTGTTGGGGATACAGCATGCGCCGTTGGCTGCCTGGCGAGTGTCGATCTCGGCGCGGGGGGTGTTGCGGACGCCTTCAACATCGGTAATGGCAGCGGCAGAGAGGGCAACAAGGCCAAAGAGAACGGCGGTGATGGAGAACTGCATTTTGGTGAAGTTTGGGTGTTTAAGATATAAAATAACTGCTTGGTGTGTTGGAAAGTGTTGTAAAGAGAAAGTAATCCGCACAGCGGGAAAGAGAAGACAAATGGAGATGTGAAGAATGACCTGGAAGACTGGCTTGAGAAGCAAAAAGGTAGAGGAGTCTTTGCTCTCTTTATGCAGCTGAGGAACACCATCATTCATGCTATTTTGCCGTACGTCGAGTGACCGCTATCAGGGTGGCCCCTCCTGAGGCAGTCATGGCAGTGCATCATGCACATCCAAAACCTGTGATCCTGACGGATCCACCGGATCGCGGAGTCAAGCCCTCAAAACGAGCATTGTTGCGCGCACTCGTGTGAAAGAAGCCGTTTAGCCGCCCAAGCAGCATGAACTTCCATCCCCGAATGAGCGGGGCACACTATGCTATACATGTCAAGGAAACTTGGAATGAGGTTTTGGGAATCAGCTGCTGCATGAGTGGCGGGCAGAACAGCTTGTTGCGGCCGATCTTAGAGCCAGGGCACGCAAGTCAAAGAACCGCCAAACTTGAGTTGACAGGCCAACCAAAAATCCACTGTCTTTCACTTGAAACACTTGCTGCGATCTCAAACATGAGCACTGACAAGTTTTGAGACGTCAGAAAACCTGAGGATTAAACGAGGCCAATTTAGCTGGCCTGCAGCACGCATGGTCAGGCGTTGCCAGGCGTACTCTGCATCGCAGCCCTTTTTTCATTTCTGTGATTAAACAATCGTAGAGGCGATTTGTATTTGATCTTGGACAAGGTTCATGCATCAGTCTGCCTTTCTAGCAGTGTGGTTCCAGAATGAAACGATTGAGGCATCTTATCCTGTTTTGGTATGGTGCCTTGGCGGACGATCGATCACGCACCTATTACCCACTGAGAATCTACGAATGACGTGAGCATGTTTGAAAATCGGCAGCAATACCGTACAAAATGATAAGTAATACAAGTGATAGAGCTTAAACATAGAGAAACATCGATTTGTCAACCGTGATGTAATCCGAATACTCGGAGTGATATTTTAGCTTCTTACGTTTATTTGCAGTAGCTTGATAGCATACTAGACAAGATCTAATCCTGCGTTTTGATACCTTCAGTAGCTTACAGAATTTATAGATCACGCGGAAATCCTGTAGAATGCGTCAAGTGACCAACATCATCGCTGGATACTTGTTTTTGGACCAGGTATTGAAAATGTGATTGAGGTCAAACCTACGTGAAAGAGAGTTTTCTTTGTTCGATCACTGATTGAGAAGAGCATAATGCAGGGTGATTGCAAGTTTTCTATCAGTAGCACAGCTCTGTCCTACAGCTATAAGGTGTAACCGAGTATGGTTATCTGACCTTAAGATTCTACTCGTATGCATAGTAGTAACCTATTTCTATAGATCCTCGGCAAAATTTTGAGTATATTGTTTAAACAAGACTGTTTTACGTGGAATCTGGTTCAGCTTTATGGTATAATAGCTTGTCGCCCCTTCTACCAGTCGAAAACTAAGCCTTATTGTCAATACGATGTAGACTTCTACTTAGCGTGCTTAGTGGTAGGTAAAGAAACAATGTATTTGTAGGTAGATTAACCATCGCCCTTGACATCTTTATAGCCCTTACACGATTAGGTGTAACGGGCTGAACGCCCTTTGGATAGCTCCTCGATGGAATCTCGGTCAAGCAGCAGACGCCAGGTCTTACTCTGCAACCCGGCATCTGTGCGAGGCCTGAGCGGCGCCCAGACGACGCGCTCAGACACTCGGTGCAACCTTTCTCCGACAAGTAAATAAACACCACGCAAGTAGACTCTATAGCTCTCTATCGAATACAACCTCTTGTATACCTCGCGATTGCTCCCCGGAGCGCAGCCCCTTACATTAGGCTAGAGATTACGCGGCTTTAGTAAGCACTAAGCTAGACACTAGATTCTTAGCCGCTTGAGTTGTAGGTTATATTAAGAATGGTCTATGCATATGACAGGTGCCAATAGCATTATAGCATCTAAACTATATATAGTTAGTACTGTATTGAAACATCTTAGTGCTTACAGCTATCCCGTGAAGAGGTTGGTTTATTACTCTCTTCTCTTCTTACGTAATAACTTTATAGTGCGTACAGGCCTACGAGCATCTTCTTACGCCTTTACAGGAGCTAGTTTTAGAGCATATATAGAAAACTATTAAATAAGCAGTATAGATAGTTTGAACCCTTTGCTAAACCGAGTCACTTATATATACTCTAAGCTAACAAGTAATGCAATTTGCAGGACAATGTACTACCAACTGCTACTGCTGCGGATATGATTGCACATATAACGGAAGACCTTGTTATATTTTGGATTTAAATACTAGTGAATATTTAAATGAGTAGGGTAATTGGTAGTGAACTTGAAGTAGAGGAATGTCGGGTTCAGGGTTAGTATTGAGAAGTAGGAGACGCCATGCCCCTATATGTGCCGCCATCGAGAATTTGGGTACTGTGAGATATGAATAGGACAGCTAATGTACGAAGTCTAGGAGATACATGCTAAGAAAGGATATAGTTAATAATTTACATATGAAGCACTGAATAACGTGGTTCACAAGTGAGTCGCTAACCCAAGCGAGTCGCTAACGCCCCACCAGCCCATCAACTTCATCACTATAACGCGTGATGTCTTAACAACGCAACCGTCTATTAATATATTCTAAATCTGATCTTTAACTTGCTCTTTTTAACGTTTAGTTACAACGTGTTTAGAGTGTAAACCGTGCTGCTACTATCTACAACGTCCTATAAAGAACTCTATCTAATCAACGCGCTGGAAAGCGCCCTTAACGCGACTGTGAGCCGAAATCGAAGCGTCTAGATAAGCTAGAAGAGGAGGCTATAGTTAAGCGTATTCTTGAAGAGTCTGCGCGAGGATTTGCGCCTATAAAGCTTGACGTTTGAGTAATAGCTGATAAACTATTGGAGGAGCGTGGTGGCAACCCTGTTGGCAAGAACTGGGTTGACAACTTCGTTAAGCGGACTCCTGAGCTCCGTACGCGCTAGAGCCGTCCCTATAATCACCAGCGAGCCGCCTGCGAGGATCTAGTGGCTATCCAGCGCTGGTTCGACTTAGTCTAGGCGACAAGGCAGAAGTGGGGTATTGTTGTCAGATAAGCGGCAGAATCCGGGTGCGGACTCGAGCACCAGGATTCTGTGATCCTAGCCAATCAGAGTCAAGCGCCAAGCCCACCCTAGGTAGGGCCGATACATGAGACACAACTGATACCACTGGT